CTTGCTCTCTCTCATCTTCTGGCACCCCTATAATTCTGATGTTGGTACGCTTGAAGCTGTCCCAGAGGCTCCTTACAGTATCTTCGTATTTTCAGATTCTTTTTTCATTTTGCTTTTTCGGTTGGGTGTTTTTTGCTTCTTTGCATTTCAAATCTTTGACTTGATTCTTGCGCTCCTCTGGTCTGCTGTTGGGAGTCTGTATAGTATTCTTTATTTCTGTCAGTGTATGCTTAATTTCTAGTTGGTTCTTTATCATAACATTGAGGGTCTCATTAGATTTCTTGTAGATCTTATTAAGTTTATTGGTGTCTTCTAGACAGTTCTTGAGAGACCTTAAAAGTGTGGTTCTGAACTCTATCTTCCATTGACAATTTTGTCCTGTTTCTTTATCTCCGCATTTTGTTTATGCTTTCTTGGTGAACCCCCTAGGGGTCTTTGTGCACAGTCTTGTTGTAGTTAATACTGGGCGGATTTGACCTCCAGGGCAACTGGCTGTGAGAGTCAGCTGTGTCTGCAGTGGGAAAACTTCTGTCCTCTGGCGAGGTGCTAATCTAGCCTTTGTCTGAGGCTATCGGGCAAATGGCTCTGTGCAGGGCTTGGGGGGGGGGCGGGGTCGCACAGGATCAACAGGGCGGGAGGAGGGAGCAGTTATGGCTGCTCTTAGTCCCGTCCCCAGAGGCTCTGCCTCTCAGAGTCCCAGCAACCGCTGCAAACCTCGGAGAGAAAGCTGCCCTCGAGTTCCGACCAATGCCAGACAGTCCCGCTTCTCCCGTATGAGTCTGGGTCCCTAGAGACCTGAGGGACCCAGGGCCTGAGCCTCCCTCCCGATTGAAAACAACAACCGCGCCCTCAGCCACCAGCCCGCTCCGCGCGCACCTCTGCACCTTTGTATTTTCCGCACTGCGCCTCTTCTGAGTCTTGGTATGCTGTTCTTTCCTTCTAGTTGAAGAATTTCCCCTTAGCCAGCTTTCCTGTGGTTCTGGGTAATGTCCAGTCCGTCTTTTTTGTATATTTGAAGTGGTTGTGCAAGGCAGCATTCTCCGGTGTTTACCTATGCCGCCAACTTGGTTCTCCCCGAGAAAAAATCGTATGTCAAATCTTAAAGTGAACGAGTGAGACATGTGATGCTGGGCTGATGTTGTGGCATTCACTCTGACGTTCGCTGCGCCAACTAGCGGTGGGGTATCTGAAGCTGGCTCATAATCCAAATTTTAGCTCGCAACTCAAAGCAAAAAATCGGCCGAGAGACGGCTTGTATCTCGAAAAACTCGTTAGTTGGGACACTCGTAAGTCAAGGCCCCACTCTAATAGTTTTTTGGTGGAGTCTTTAGAGTTTTTTATGTACAATATCATGTCATCTGTGAATAATGAGTTTTACTTCCTCCTTTCCAATTTGGATGTCTTTTATGTTTTCTTCTTCTTTGATTGCTGTGGCTAGGACTTCCAGTACTATGTTGAATAAGAGTGGTGAAAGCAGACATCCTTGTCTTATTCCTGTTCTTAGGGGAAATGGTATTAGTTTTTGCCCATTGAGTATGATGTTGGCTGTAGATTTGTCATATATGGCCTTTATTATGTTGAGATAAGATCCCTCTATTCCCACTTTGCTGAGAGTTTTTATAAAAAATGGGTGTTGAATTTTGTTGAGTGCTTTTCTGCATCTGTTGATATGATCATATGATTTTTGTCTTTTATTTTGTTTATGTGATGTATCATGTTTATTGATTTGTGAATATTGTACCAGCCTTGCATCCCTGGGATACATCCCACTTGGTGATGGTGTATGACCTTTTTTATATATTGCTGGATCTGATTTGCTAATATTTTGTTGAGGATTTTAGCATCTAGGTTCATCATTGTGTGTTCACTTTCATTTGTTTCCAGGAAGTTTTTGATTTCTTTCTTGATCTCATTGGTAACCCAACATTGTTTAATAACATGTTATTTAGCCTCCAGGTATTTGAATGTTTTGAGTGTTTTTACTGTAGTTGATTTCTAATTTCATTCTATTGTGAACTGAGAAGATGCTTGATATGATTTCAATCTTCTTGAACTTGTAGAGACTTCTTTTGTGTCCTAATATGTGGCCTATTTTTGAAAATGACCCATGGCACTTGAGAAGAATGTATATTCTACAGCTTTGGGGTGAAATGTTCTATAAATGTTAATTAAATCCATCTGATTCAGTGTGCCATTTAGAGTCTCTGTTTCCTTGTTAATTTTTTTGTCTGGAAGATTTATCCAGTGAAGTCAGTGGGGTGTTAAAGTCCCCTACTATGACTGTATTGCTGTTGATCTCTCCCTTAAAGTCTTCTAGAAGTTTTTATTTTTATTTTATTTTTATTTTTTATTGATTTTTTTACAGAGAGGAAGGAAGAGAGATAGAGAGTCAGAAACATCGATGAGAGAGAAACATCGACCAGCCGCCTCCTGCACATCCCCCACTGGGGATGTGCCCGCAACCCAGGTACATGCCCTTGACCGGAATCGAACCTGGGACCTTTCAGTCCGCAGGCCGACGCTCTATCCACTGAGCCAAACCGGTTTCGGCTAGAAGTTTTTTTTATATTTAGGTGCTCCTATATTGAATGCATATATATTTACTAGGGTTATATCCTCTTTTTAGATCAATCCCTTCAGTATGATGTAGTGACCTGTGTTGTCTCTTGTGATGGTCTTCAGTTTGAAGTCTGTTTTGTCAAATATGAGTATTTCTACCCCAGCTTTTATTTCCTTTCCATTTATTTGCATGGAAAAACTTTTTTCCACTCCTTCACTCTCATCCTGTGTGAGCTTTTCTTCTGAAGAGGGTCTCTTGTAGACAGCATATAATTGGGTCATGTTTTTGTATCCATTCAGCTACCCTATGTCTTTTGTTTGGAGTATTTAATCCATTTTCATTTAAGGTTATTATTGATAGGTACTTATTTAATTCTTTATGCTTATGTTTCTATTTCTTCTTTTCCTTACAGCAGCCCCTTTAGCATTTCTTGCAGTGCTGTTTTGGTGGTGATAAACTCTTTTTTATAAATAAAAAAAGCCTTTTTTATTTGTCCAGGAAGCTCTTTATTTCACCATCTATTTTGAATGATAGCCTTGGTGGATATAGTAATCTTGGTTTCGGATCCTCGATTTCCATTACCTTGAATATGTCATGCCATTCCCTTCTGGCCTATAGAGTTTCTGAAGAGAAATCAACTGACAGCTTTATGGGACTGTTTTGTAGGTACCAAATTGCTTGTTTTCTTGCCCTTAAGATTCTCTCTCTGTCTTTAATTCTTGGCATTTTAATTCTGATGTGTCTGGTTATGGGCCTGTTTGGTTTCTTCTTGCTTGGGACTCTCTGTGCCTCCTGAACTTGTGTGACTTTTTCCTTCACCAGGTTAAGGAAGTTTTCTGCCATTATTTATTCAAACATTTTTTTTTTTTTAATCCTTTGCTAACTGTCTTCCCCTTCTGGCACTCCTATTATGTGAATATTGTTACTTTTCATAGTGTCCCACAGCTCCTACTGTTTTATAATTGTTTTTTCTTTTTTGTTCTCTGATTTTTTTATTACCATGTCTTCTACTTCACTGATACTATCCTTGACTTCCCCTAATCTGCTGTGTATTCATTCTGATATGTTTTTATTTTTTATTTTTAAAAATATATTTATTGATTTTTTTACAGAGTGGACGGAAGAGGGATAGAGAATTAGAAACATCAAAGAGAGAGAAACCTCAATCAGCTGCCTCCTGCACACCCCCTACTGGGAATGTGCCCACAACCAAGGTATATGCCCTTGACCGGAATCGAACCTGGGACCCTTCAGTCCGCAGGCTGATGCTCTATCCACTGAGCCAAACCAGTTAGGGCCATTCTGATATGTTTTTTTTCTTTTTTTAAAATATATTTTATTGATTTTTTACAGAGAGGAAGGGAGAGAGATAGAGAGTTAGAAACATCGATGAGAGAGAAACATCGATCAGCCGCCTCTTGCACATCCCCCACTGGGGATGTGCCCGCAACCCAGGTACATGCCCTTGACCGGAACCTGGGACCTTTCAGTCCACAGGCCGAAGCTCTATCCGCTGAGCCAAACCGGTTTCGGCTGATTTTTTTTTTTTTTTTACAACATAGTTAGGTTTTATTATTGTTAGAGGATCAGAGGGAGGGGAACCAACACTCCCCACAGTCCATGCCACCCACAGCTGGCCAGCCTGCAAGAGTAGCTGCAGCTACTTTCTTGGAGATTATACTGTAGAACAAGGGGTGAGCCCCACTCCTTCACCGAATTCCCAGACTAGCCAAAACGGTTCAGGGCTCTTCTGGGGAAGGGAGTTCATTAACTTGAAGATTAGCAAGTCACACCAAGGACTCTGCTCACAAAAATGCAAAATCACAACATGGCAGCCCATAAGAAGTTTATTGTGTCCTCAAGACACTATACAATGCAGACTCCTCTCCCAGAGAAGGGTCTTTCAGAGACCGGGAACCATCCTCCAGATGAGCTGCTCATTAGTCCTTTTCATAGGTGGCTGGATTCTTCCTCCTGGATTTCTCAAACTCCTCAGTCCCCCATGTGTAGACAAGATAAAATGCGACAAATGGCGGCGCGACGTGCAAGATGGAGACCTGGATGCGGCACAGCACGTTGGGGATGCCCTTGCTAAAGTAGTGCGGAAAGGCGCGCTGCTCGCTGCTCGAAGGGCGACAAGCTGTAGGTGATCACGTGCCACACCCGGGTCAGCTTCCCAAACTCGCGGCCCATGGTGGCGGCGGCGCCGGGGTCACCTCGCCCTCCACAGTCGCGGGATCCACCGGTCTCCCTCGGCTGATATGTTTTTAATTAGTGCTATGTCATTCTTTATTTCTGACTGGTCTTTTTTCATAGTTACTATATCTTTTTCTCATGCTGTTGAGCATCTTTGCCATCATTATTCTGAACTCTATATCTAATAAATTTCTTATCTCCATTTTGTTTGGCTCTCCTTCTAGAGAATTCTTTTCTTTCATAGGGTTTTTTTTTTTTGTCTCCCTATTTTGACTGCCTGTTTGTGATTATGTCTATGTGTTAGGTATATCTACTACGACTGCTAATCTCTAGTGCAAGACACTCTCAGACACTGTTTCTGACTGGCCCTGAATCCCTTATTTGGAGCTATCAGCATTTCTAAGCTTGTGGCTTCCTCTGCTGGGGCTGAGTGCCTTTGGAAAGGACCAAGATGTCCAGGATCTGCTTTTCCTAGCCCCAGGCCCAGAGGAGATCAGGCAAAGACTCAAAACCTCCAGAGACTCACCTCTGCCTGCAGTTTGTATTCAGGCTTGATTAGCCTTAGGCTATTGACTACAGGGTGCAAGAGGTCTTCCAATAGGATGGGGCAACTGCCTCCCCCCCCTTCCAGGCAAAAATCACCTGGATAGCAAATGTCTGAGGAGAAAGATGTCCTTCACAGTGTGAGGGAATGACTCAGTATGGGAAACTGGGGTGGTTTCCTTCCGAGCTCCAACCCCAGAGCCCTCCACTCTGGACTCACACAGCTCCAGTCCATTCCACCCTCCCTCCACTAGAGCCCAAAGTGAGTGGTTGCACATGAATTTTGTACATTGGCCCTTTAAGAGGGTGCCTGCATTTTCAGCTGTCTCTTGCTGGCTGATAGCAACCCTGTTGCTGTTCACAGTCAGATGTTCTGTGGACACCTTTCTTAGTTCTGGTTATGTGGACTGGGGAGCTCCATTTGGGGTTTAGACCTCAGAGTTCTCAGTGGGAACCCATCACCATTGAGCTATCCCTTTGGACCTTCAGCTGCTATCTGTGGCAGCTGGGCCAGGCCTTTTGCACTTCTGCACTTCCTACCAGTCTCTACTCAGTTTCCACGCTCCATCCTTAGTTACCAGGATTCTCTCCAGCTAGTCTTCAGTTGATTTTTCAGGGTGGTTTTTCTGCATTGTAGTTGTATTTCCACTTTGGTCCTGCGAGAGTGTCAGTGTAGCTTCCACTTCCTCTGCTGCCATTTTTAAGCCCCCAATTAGGCTATAGTTACACAGCTGTTTAGCTGCAATATAAAGCTAAGTTTTCAAACTTGATGATAGTCTTAAAATGGAACTGGTAGAACGGGATTAGGTATACTTTAGTGTCTATCATGTTTTACATACAGTATTTAATCCTTAAGAGTACCTGCTTAAACAGACTATCTTCCCTTCGTAGATAAGGCTACTGAATCTCAATCATGCCTGAGGCAATAACTTTATAACCCACAGGGCTTTGATTTGATAAAACATTCACACTCTTTCCCACACCACAGCATGTAATTTTAAAAAAACATTTAAAAAAATCCTTACCCAAGGATATATTTTTAAATTGACTTTGAGAGAGGAAGAGAGAGAGAAAGAGGGAGAAAAAGGGAGAAATGATGTGAGAGAGAAATATCGATGGGTTGCCTCTTGTATGTGCCTGGACCAGGATGCAACTGCACCTCGGTATGTGCCCTAAGAACTGAACCCACTACCTTTTGGTGCATAGGATGAAGCTCCAACCAACGGAGCCATCTGGCCAGGGCAGAATGTATATTTCTGTAAATATTTTCCCCTTTTTTATTTTAAGTGATGAAAGAATGAACTTTCATTATCAGTAATCAGGTGACTGAGAAATCATACTTTGCCATTTTTTAAATGTTTTAAAATTTATTTTAGAGAGACAGGAAGAGGAGAAACATCGAAGTGTGAGAGAAACATAGGATTGGTTGCCTCCTTCCCGTACGTATCCCAATGGTACTCTCCCCAACTGGGGATGGAACCTGAAACCTGGGTATGTGCCCTGACCAGGAATTGAACCAGTGACACTTCAGTGCATTGGATGATGCTCAACCAACTGAGCCACACCAGCCAGGGCCTGCTTTGCCATCTTAATGGAATACCTATTACTAAAACATATGGTCAACATATAGTAAAAATTATAGTACAATAAAAATAATAAGGCACATATCAGAAATATAATCCACTTATAATTTTTCTAATTATTTTGTTCCAATTAGGACTAGTACTTAGGAATTTCAACAGCCAAAGGGCAGAAATAATTAGGAGAGTATTAAATGGAAAAGCCACTTATATTTACTTTTATTTTTGACTACCATCTATAGGTGGTTTTATATATGCTGGACTTTTCTGAATTCCATATGAGATATAGGTTAAACAAATGTGACTATACTTATGGATCAATGCAACAAGATATTTGTCAGCAGGGTAGTTCAGTGCTCGATCCAATTTTGAATAACCTGCTTTCCTTTTGCATATTTTGAAGCTGAATTTTGCACACTGAATGCTTTTGACTCTAAGAAAGGGAACCAGCAAAAGATCTTTTTCCTATTTTGTATCATGTAACATCAATCAAACAGGTGTATAACTTACAGGCTGTTACAGTATCCAGTGAAATATTACAAGTAAACTCTGAAATTCACCTGTCATTTATAATGCTAACACTTACAAATGGCATACTCAAAGTTTTGTAGGAGACTAATCTGCAGCACAGTCCAATCATGGTATGCATTTGGAAAAAAAACACCTTAAAAAAGACTTTACTAGTTTAGTTCAAAAAGTAATTTATTTCTGGGACAAATCCTAGGGAGTTAGGAAAGATTGCTTTGATATGTTTTAACTCTTGAAAGAGACAATCAGATATCTGAACAGACTGATGGTCGTTGGTGCCAATTCAACGCCATCCCCAACTTGGAGCAGTAAAGAAAAAACTTTATTCAGTGCAAAACAGCCCAATTGTGATACTACATTGCTGGAAAACAGCACAGCTATGAGGCAGCCCTGGAGCTAGGCTCCTCTATAGCTAGAGAGAGCTCTGCTCCTCACTGGTCCGCTTTGCTTTGCTCTGGCCTGCACTGGTATGCTCTGCTCTGCTCCAGTGTGACAGCTTCAGTTTTTTAGCTCCATCTATAAAAATGCAGTATTTGGTGGAAAGGGAAAGAGATATCAGAGGCAGCTGGGAGTTTACTTATATAGACAGAAGTTCCTACCCCTGGTCCCTGATTGGTTCATCCTCATGCAAATGAGGATTCCAAATCTTTGCAGTTTTATTGGTCCACAAGGCACTGTCCTGATTGGTCAGAGCCGAGCTGTTCTGATTGGCCAGTGAAGAAGCTGGGGTGGGGGAATAGTTGCACAACTCAGACTGGATGAGGAAAGCTTCAGTTCTACTAGTTGAAATAGGAATCCAGGAACTCCTCTAGAAGAGCAGGCTCAGATGGCAGAAACAGTGAAGGCTTCTCCCTGAAGTGCAGTTTGCATGAGAGACCCTTATGTAGAAATGGCTACTAGGCTGTTTTTTTGTTTTTAATTTGAGCCCCATTAAGCCACCAGGAGCCCTCCTCAATAGGTATCTCCTTTCTCAGGGTCCACACATACTTTGCATTAGCAGAAAGACAAAACCTTTCCAAAAGAGGATTTTATTCAACAGTTATTGAAATATTGCTCTCATCATCATCTACACTATGTCACATCTCTTGCTGTCCCTCCTCCCTACTTCACTATGGCTGACTACCAGATCCTAATTTCTTTTTCTGCTCCTGTCTTCCATTAGGTCTTCTTTTTATCCAAAACATACTGACTTGAAATGAAAACTTTTTGTGTAGCTTTCTCTTTGACTTTTAGTTTCAGCTCTTGTTCACTCAGGCCTGCTATGTAACCAGTACTTATTTAGAGTGACTGTGTTTTCCCTCCCTGATTAAAAGGAACTGAGTAACTGCCTCTGTGGTCGCTGCTTGGTGAGGTTATTTTGAGCCATGAGGGCTGAGGGCAGGGTTAGATTGAGGAAGTAGCTGAAATCAGTTTCATGTCTGAAGCTAATCTTGGTTTTGTTTTTAAAAATTTTTTAAAGTATATTTTTATTAATTTCAGAGAGGGAGAGGGACAGAAACATCAATGGTGAGAGAATCATTGGTTGGCTGCCTCCTGCACGCCCCCTACTGGGGATGGAACCCACAACCCAGGCATGTGCCCTTGACCAGAATTGAATCTGGGATCCTTCAGTCCACAGGCCGATGCTCTATCCACTGAGCCAAACCAGCTAGGGCTAATTTTGGTTTTTAAGTGTCATGCATTGCAATCTAATTCTCATTAAGAATAGAATTAATGGGTGTACCCAACATATCATCTAGTTGTTAATTATTAGAAACAACTCTGAAAAAACACATCACTGGCTTAGGAGGGACAGCATTTCTTTTTACTCTTCATTCCACTTTTTAAAAATGACATTGTCTGCATTTTGAATTAAGGTCACCCTTTCTCCTTTGTAGCTCAAAAACAAACTAATTTTTAGTTTGTAAATTTCAGGTACAATTGAAGTTCTGAAATCACCATGATATAAATCAAACAATTCTGCCAGATTAAGGGTAAAGAGGAGAGAAAAAACTATCAGAAAGAAGAAATACTTATTTGAAATAACAGATAACCGTGAGAAGTTATCAGCTGAGTTTTTAAAACCACAGAACTTTGGGTATAAGGAAGGAGTGTGCACATGGCTAATAGACAAGGTTAATGAAAGCTATTATCAATTCAGAGTAGCAAATTGACCACTCACTGAGCAAACTAAGTGGTCTATCAGAGCCATTTAATTTAATAAAGTTACTTGATTCCCCCTTTCATAAAGCATCCAGGAATCAGATGGGGAAAGATGGGTTAACAAAATCTTTGCAAAGGGTATGATGATAGCCAGGAAAGCTTTGCATGGTGAATGGAAGAGATAGCACAGAAGTGAATAATTGATTCTCATAATATTTAGATCTTGATCTGCTTCCAGCCAGTGGACTATGCAATAAGTTTTTGATTCTTTTATTGTTTTCTTCTTGCATTCCTCTAGATTTTACATATCCTTAATTTGTTTTACAGATCACTGCTTTTCCTTTGGAATAAGCCAATGTGGCTAATGGAGACCAAAAGGTAATTAATAAATGTTACAATAGCTTGGTTTTAAGGTTTTGGTGCATAACTTCAAGACATTTTCATAGAACATTGTCTTTTCAAGGTACGGTTAAAATGAAACTTTCCATTAGGATAATGTAGAAGATGACATTTTTTCAGGAAAAAGTAAAAATCCTAAGCTTGCCTCTATCCGGCATCTTCCCTCAGGCACTGAGACTGCAGCCATCCAACAAATGGGGACAGGCAGAATGAGACTTCAAAAGTCACAAATATACAATATCTAATTTTTAGCAAGTCTGGCAATGAGATCTTTCCATTCTCCCCTCTTCTTTGTGATGTATATAGGAGTGAGTAGCTGCAATAGTGATTCTGGCTGTTGTCTAAAAAAGTTCTGACACAAGGCCTCAGTGTTACATATCACGTACATCCCACAGTCATAGCTGTTTTGTTGAGCAGGGGCTTTCTCTTCCACAAACACTAGTTTGTCTCCTTTTCTGCCTAAAAAAGCCTCCAATTTTTCTGCTACCTGCTTTGCATGAACTGAGTTGCTTCTGCTATGGGAGTCATAATGAAAAAAGCTATTTTTATCTTGGAGATAAACCAGCAAACTCCAATGGGTTCCCCCAGCTGCCTGGTTGGAATTATCATTGATGGCTAAAAATACAACTCTCTTGTTGGGGATGTCCAGGGGTTCAAGGAACATGGCAATCTCTGCTGGGTTGCTAGTGCACTTGATGAACTGGGTGACTTCAGGACTGATGAAGCAGACTTGGTCAGAGCAGTCATGAAACTGACTATTGGCAAAGTACTCAAAGGCAAACCCAATAATACGGTCATTGAGCCAGCTTGGAGGATCCAATAGTGAGACATCTGATTGCCGCAGTAGACTGTCCATGTAACTCAAGACTACAGGGTCCATCTTGTACTGACCAGGATTGCTCAGAAATTCTGGAAGCTGAAGGAGAGGCAGAAGACAATATTTAATGTTGAATATGACACCTGCCTGTCAAATGGGGATGATAAATCATAGCTACTCTCACAGAGTTTTGGGAAAAATTAAATACAATTGTAAATTAACAATGCCTACCTAAAAGTAAACATTCAGGAAACTGCAGGATAAATGCTTTATGTTTATAATTAGGTGGAATGAAAACTTGGGAAATTTTCTATGCTGAAACAGTAAGCATGGATTTTTAATTTCCTTTATAAATACAGGGATTGGTTAAAGTTATAACTAGTGTTTTTCTAAACTCCATGGCATTAACCATATATTTGGCCCTTTAATGAATATGCATGATTACAATGGCAAATTATTTTTAAATTAAAGATGAATTTTCAAAGAATCTAAAAAATGTTACTAATTACCAAGGGAAGTAGTTTCTATTTCCACTTTAATTTTCAAGAGATAAAACATTGCTTCCTCATTCCATAATGGAAAGTGACAGTGATTAGAGTTGTAGTTAATGTGATTTTTATTTTTTTAAATATATTTTATTGATTTTTTTACAGAGAGGAAGGGAGAGGGATAGAGAGTTAGAAACATCGATGAGAGAGAAACATCGATCAGCTGCCTCCTGCACACACCCTACTGGGGATGTGCCCGCAACCAAGGTACATGCCCTTGACTGGAATCGAACCTGGGACCCTTGAGTCCGCAGGCTGATTCTCTATCCACTGAGCCAAACCGGGCTAGAGTTGTAGTTAAAAGTTGTAATTAACACTTTCTGTAATGCGAAGAACAGAAAATCATGAGGGTAATAGAAATGAAATTCATTTCTGACTCTGCCCAGCCAAGGGACAGAGAGGGAGAGAGGGAGAGAGAGAAAACATCAATTTCCATATGTGCCCCACCTGGGGAATGAACCCACAACCTAGGCACATGCCCTGAACCAGGAATAAAACCTGCAAGCTTTTTATTTATTTATATTTTTGGTTCACAGAACAACGCTCCAGTTGAGGCACTCAGCCCAGGCCATTGGTTGATTCTTGTATGAGCCTTGACCGGGTATCAAACCGGCATCCTTGGCATATGGACAACGGTCTAACCCTACCCTGCCAGGATTGGTTACACTATTAAAACAATAAAATTTTGTGGCACAATTATTTTTGTGTAATCAAAATCCTGCAAAAACCTATATAAAAATAAACATACAGTAAATAAATGAGGTAACTAAGAAAGACCAAAGAGGCTTTTATGTGCATGAGGTATGTCATAATATGAACTACTTCAGAAACAATACAGGGCTGTTTAAGTATGTGTCTGTCTGTCTGTCTGTCTATCTATCTATCAAATGAGATGGCATGAACTAAGATTTTCGTAAGAAGAAAGAATAATTTGAGCAGAGACATAAATTGGAACTAGGAACAAAGTTAATGAGGCACAGAGCCCATTTGTTATGAGTGAGCCACAAATTTGGCTCTAATTATTTGGCAGCTAACCTAAGAGCATTAAGTTAACTATTCACAATCTCCATAAGGTAAAAACAAAGCATTTGCTCAGGAGAGGTAAAAGTTTTCTTTGCATTAAGGTCAGACCGTTTTCTCTCAAGAAATTTTAATGCCCCTCAATATCTTTATAATAGATGAAATTGTTTCAAAGGATTGTTTCTTCTAATGATCTGTAGTATTCAGCCTGATGGCAAATGAGCTAACAACAATTTACATGGACACTTGGTGCTCAGCTTGCTGCTGATCTGACTTAAGAGTATATGAATATGAAGAGGGAATGACGCATGTATACCATGCAAGGCTCCCTTAATCACTCCCCTATACTGTCAATGAACACTACATAGTGGTGAGTGCCAGATTGTACTGCCTAGCAAACACCTGGAGACCTGCTCTCTATGCTGCCAGCTGAAATCAGACTCATTATTTTAACAGCCAACCCCTACTAGGGATAGAAGTCTATAAGGAGTAGAGTGCCTGGATATATAGGCATCTCACTTAGAAGGGAGTATCACAGGCAGAGCCAAGATTTTCTTCAGAAAATAGTTTTTGATTTGTCTGTTTGATTTTGAAAACATCCAACACACAATGTATCAATCAAGGACTTAATTCTATTCCATAGTGTATGACTGCAATAGCTTAACATCAACAATTGTAAAGCAAATGGGCTTAGCTGGTATGGCTCGGTAGTTGAGCTTTGACCTATGAATCAGGAGGTTGGGGTTTGATTTGATTCCCTGTCAAGGCACATGCCTGGGTTGCAGGCTTGATCCCCAGTAGGGGGCGTGCAGGAGGCAGCCGATTTACTTCTTCTCTGAAATAAATAAAAACATATTTTAAAAAATAAAGCAAATGGAACCAAACTAGCCTTTGGAAAATCACCTTTGGTCAAGAAAATGAACTCTACACTTCACATGTGAAGACTTGAATTTTAGACTCAGTTCAGTTACTCCTACAGTTCTGTGTGATCATAAACTACTTAATTTCTTGAAACCTGTTTCCTCTTCTGAAGAGTGAGAATATTAATACAAATATATAGATTATTTGTTAATGTAAAATGAAGAAACAGAGGTAACTAAAATTAAATATATATATATATATATATATATATATATATATATAAAACATACAGTATTTCCAGATACCTATTGTGTCATCAGGAAATTTATGTCTTATACTCAATAAGAGAAGAAACCCATTAAGGCACACACACACAAAAAAATGTATAGGAATTCAGTACAATCATTCCTGGCAAAGAGGATGAAAGGGAAGGAGAGCTTAGATCAGGAAAGACTTCAAGGAGAAAGTGGCATACTAGTGGGCTCTTGCAAGACTGGTAGAGTTAGACGCAAGGAGAAGGGCATTAAGAAGGCAGAGAGGCAAGGAAAGTGCCTTTAATTGTGTAGTCTAGTCTGGCTGGAATGAAGTGAGAGTAGGTATGAAGGAAGTAGGGTTAAAGGAAGATTACTAGAAGTTACTAGTGTACTGGTTAATAATGCAAATTTTTTTCAATAGATGGAGTTACACATATGTTTACATATGCGATTTGATATATATGCTATTTTGTTGTATTGACAGCAAGCTTCAAAACTTTATATCAAATTTTCTGAAGGTGTTAACATCATAAATATTTTTATGCTTAAAAATGTGGAATTTTGTGCCCAAAAAAGAGCATTTGTGGGAAGTTTTAATTCATTACTTTATGTTGAAGAAAAGTGCTGCTGAAAGTTATCATATACTTCGGGAAGCTTATGGTGAACATGCTCCATCTCAAGATACTTGTGAACGCTAGTTTAAACACTTTAAAAATGATGATTTCGATGTGAAAGACAAAGAATGTCCAGGTCAACCGAAAAAGTTTGGAGACCAACAATTAACAAGCCTTATTGGATGAAGATGCATGTTAAACTAAAAAACAACTTGCAGAAAGATTAAACGTTGCTCAGCAAACAATTTCCGATCGTTTACAAGCAATGGGAAAGATTTTAAAGGAAGGAAAATGGGTGCCACATCAACTGAATGAAAGACAAATGGAAAACCGAAAAGTCATCAGTAAAATGTTGCTTCAACGGCACGAAAGGAAGTCTTTTTTGCATCGAATTGTGACTGGCGATGAAAAGTGGATTTATTTTGAGAATCCCAAACGCACAAAATCATGGGTTGATCCAGGTTAACCATCAACATTGACTGCAAGGCCAAATCGTTCTGCGTTTGGTGGGATCAGGAAGGTGTGGTGTATTATGAGCTTCTAAAACCAGGTGAATCTGTTAATACTGATCGCTACTGACAACAAATAATCAATTTGAACCACGCTTTGATCGTAAAATGACCAGAATGGACCAGAAGACACGGCAAAGTAATTTTGCTTCATGATGACGCACCATCACACACTTCAAAACCAGTTAAAGACACGTTACAAGATCTTGCCTGGGAAGTATTAACCCACCCGCTGTATTTACCAGACCTTGCTCCTTCAGATTACCACTTGCTCCGATTGATGGCACATGCACTTTCTGAGCAGCATTTCAAAACGTACGAAGAAGTGGAAAATTGGGTCTCTGAATGGTTTGCCTCAAAACAAGAAAAGCTCTATTGGGATGGTATCTACAAATTACCTGAAAGATGGGGGAAATGTGTAACTAGCGATGGAGATTACTTTGAATGAAGCACTTTTGATGTTTCTCTTGAAATTATCGTGTTTTCTTTGATTACAAAATCCGCGTTAATAACCAGTATACCTGGTAAGCGGTGACAGGCTGAATTCCAGGTGAGAGTTTGGAATTTATACTGGAGGAAAAGGTGAGCCATTAATGACTAGCTAAGCCAATGCTGTAGGAAGATTAACAATTCAGCATGGCATATAAAATTAATTTTTGGAAGAGAAATTGAAGGTAGAGATCAATTAGACTTTTATTAAAAGTAAAGGTAGGAGGACATGACTTAAATCAGGGGAAATGGCAGTTGGAATGGAGAAGCAAAGAAGAAAATATATTGTAGACAGAGCCTCAATAAGTGATCAAAGGAAGGTGAATTGCGTAGGAAAGACTTAAGAAATGACCTGAGAATTTTAGTTGGGGTGCCTGGGGTTTTAGCTGTAGTTCATTATTAATGTTGTAGGGAAAAGGAGATGGAAGGGAACCTAGCAAAAGAACCAAGAACCATCTAGAACCATCCTAGGGAAATTTCTTTCTATAAAATGAGCACTATGCTTGGCATATCTGAGAAACCATAAATGTTTGCCAGAGGAATGAAATGTTTGAAAAAGAGAGTCAGAAAAAACAGATTAGGGGAAAAAGAGAGAAATGAGGTCTCTTAATATTTTTGTATTGTTTGTAACACCCCATTTTATTATTTATTTGTTTGTATGTTTTAAAAGATCTCTGTACTTGGTTTTGGTGAATGCTAAGGGATATTGGGGAGTGAACTGGGGAGACAATGACCTCCTCAGAGTCCTATTTGTAAAATCCTACAAAATAATATTATAGTTCTACGTTTTGGGACAAGGAGTTT